TTTTTTTTTTTTTTTTTGTTTTCCGTCGTTTTTTTTTTCTCGCCCGCGCCCGCGTTCAATCCTATCGTCAGCCGGAAAAAAAAAAAACGTTGTCCTAGAGTACGTTACGTACACACGCGATACACCAACCCGCGTACGGATAGGTACGGACGCGCGGGACACGTTCGCGTCAGGATACGTTTCCGGTCAATGGAACCGTACGGTATCGTATCATTACGTCCGAACCGGTGGCCGCGGGCTCCGGGCGATCGGTCCGAAAATGCGACGGTTTCCAAAAAAAAGCTTCGGAAATTCGAAAACGGCGCACACGTATCGCCGCCGCGTGCGTGTCGCATTGTGATTCTCAGAAAAAAGGCGCGTCGGCCTACTGCGTAGTTTGCACGCCGATGTTTTTCAACGCTCGGCGTTGGCGTCCGAGGGTTTTGAATAAAGTCTTGAAATCGTCGTTTCCTACACCGTTTATAGCTTTCCGCGTTTATACGGGTAACCTTCAATACTCCAACAACGCTATCGCGGTCGCCTCATCCCGTCGCCCATTAATTTGTTTCGGTTCGGTACATTATTATCGTAAAAACACGACGGTCGGTAATTGTCGAAATAATAGGCGTACATACGGAGTCGTCTAGATAGTAGTGTATTAACAAAAAAAAAAAGTGAGCTGATATTTTGGACGGGTGCGCACCCTGTTGCAGGCTTGACGTCGAGACGGTAGAATCCGCAGTAAGTTATTTCGTTTAAATCTGTGAGCAACGCCAAACCAATTGTTAACGTTTTGAAAATAACAAAATCGTACGCCGTAAATGTGCTCGTTTTCATTTTTCGTCTCCCTTCCGGCTTTTCTCGATCATCGTGCATGAAAACTCCTCGGAAAACCGAAAAACGACTTGCTCCGCGAATAACCAGACACGTAACGCAACAAAAAAAAAAGGTTTCTATGCGTTTTTACGAGCGGAAAACATAGCCACCCACCACGGCCGCGGTCCGTCTCTTCGAAACGTGTTGGCTGAGCCGAGTAAAAATGAATCCCTTAGGCTCGCCGAAACCGAATGTGCAATCGATTATAACCGATTATCAGTCGAGATTCCGCCGACCGACGGTCGTCCTCGGTTATGTCGACTGTTTCGACGGAGACGTAAAACAACCGCGCAAACGGTTTAACGCAGCCGGCGCGCGGTGAAATATAAATATTAAGCCCGCGTTTAATTGTTTCACTGTAATACGACAATATACGTCGTTGACGAAGCACCGCTATCAACCGAACTCCGCTCGGATCGTTCTTTCGTTGACAATGGTTGATCTTTGCTTACACGGGTATACGTCGTATCAGCGGCTGCACCCGTACCCATAATCCTAGGACGTGTTTTTTAATTTTTTTTTTTTTTTTCGTAAAAATTAGTAAAGCCGTTTTTAATAAAAATATTCGTTTTTCCGGACGAGTCGACTTGGTTGCTCCACCGTAATATTGTTACGCAACGCGCTCGCGTCGGGAAACTTCTCGTCCCGGTAAATTTCGGAGTACGCGTATGCACACTTCGCCATAATATATTATTATTGTTGTTATTATTATTATTGAATAAAATATTATACCGTATTATTATACTATTGAAATATACGATATTACGCTGTATCGCTGCACCGAGACGCGACGCGGACCGCACGGCAAACTGGTCGGACCGGTTCGCGGACGGGCGATGCAGTTTCAAATTTATACGTATAAAACAAAAAATAAATAAAAAAAATTACTATCCCGTTGCGCGAACGGTTATTGTTATTATTGTACGTATCGTGTTTTTTTTTTTTTTTTTTCAACGGGGGTATAGTATCTGAGCGTATAAACGAACGACGGCGGGCTGTCGACGACGGCAAAAAACGTCGCCGTCGCCGCTGCCGCCGCCGCGAAAACTCGACGCCCGAAAAAAATTAATTAAAAGGTAATCCGATCGCAAACCGGAAAAACTCATTTCGGTCGCGTGTTTTTTCTTCTTCGCGTTTTTTTTGCTATTTATTATTTTCGCAATAAGGTCCCGATTAAAACTGCCACTCGCACTGTCCGCGCGCGCGTCAATCCCTTTACCGAAAGTGTTTTTTTTTCTCGGTCTCAACAGCTTCGCACGGGGAAGGGCCGCGCACCGTAGTCTTTGTGTTATAAGCCTCACGTTTCTCATTCTGTCGCATTTTACTTTTTGTGACCCTGCACACAATGAAATACAGTTATTTTTTTTTAACTAGATTCGTTAATACTGTACCCGTATATTCATGTACTAGTGTTTATATTTTAGTGCAGGTATCGTTCTGATCCCGTATCTGTATAGACGATTTTTCGTACGAGTTCCGCGCATATGTTTCAAATCGAAATCATTGTACAGTAAAACTCGTTCGAGACGCTCCTTAAGAGACTAGCTCTCTAGTGCGTCTTATGTGGGAAAGCGTCTTAAACGGGAGCGTCTTAAGCGAGTTTTACTATACATTTATTTAAATAGTTTGGTATAAATCCAGAATTTTCGGAAATAGACCAGTGGCGTTATTTCGGTTTTTGAAAGGGAGGGGTGGACAAGTTTTGAACTGTCCATATAATGAAAAAAAGAAACGCTCGCCAATTTATTCGTCAAAATTACATTTTTATCTCAATACAAATAATCTTATTACATCATTTATTTATAATTACTATTACATGCGTGACCAACCCATTTTTTTTTTAAGGTATGACTATGTCCAAATAATACATATACGTGTAACGGGATACCTAAATATATTAGGTACCTATTAGCTACTATATGAAGAATTGAAGACTTATTAGTTTTAACGGAATTTTATGAAGTAACCATGTATTTACAAAAAAAAAATTACCGTGTCACCATTAACATTTAGTATAACCGTAGAACATACTAAATCAAAATTTTCCGAAAATTTACAATGGCTCTTATGGGAGCCCGGTAATTTGAGCTAAAGAGCTGTCAATGTTAACAAAAAGTATAATACAAAAAATATCGTAAACAATTATCACATTTATTAAAATTATGATCACAAACGAATCTTAAAAAAATAGTTCAAAGTGGCCGCATACAACATAAATCATAAATCGTGTTTTCAGACATGCGGCTCAAATCTAGTCTGACACCAGCCCATTCCCGGCCTGATAGCAGTCCGCTGATAACAATATGAGGGCAATTGTCTCCTCAAACTCTCTTCAAATGATGATATTGAGAAAGACTCAAATGAATGGAAAAGTTATTCAACACGTTCATCGGTCAAGAACCCGATTAATTCCTTACACACTGTTAATGATACTGCCGCGAGGAAAGCGATGTAAAGTTAATGGAAGAGTTAAATTGAAAATTCACGAAGAATGAAAATCAGCAATAATTTATAATACAATACATCCTAGAAATATACGAATTGTGTTATATTATTAATATGACAACGCAATGTACAAAAAGTAAAGTAATGGATTCGCTTTATTATTATTATCTTTTTAATACTTATTTAAAAATATTATAAATATTATATTATTACATTATAAATATACATCTCCGGGAACCTTCGAGTTTAGTACAGACTTATAACGGTATAAACAATTTGTTACACGGATGTTATATTATTGTTAGCTTTATTGATTTGTACATAGGTGTCCGCCAGTATTGTAGACAAAAGCAAATTCTCCAGTCAAACGAAACAATTCAAGTGACGGCACGTGTTGTCGGTGTCCACCTGTTAAGTCTGGAGTTTGAAATTCCCGTTGCCGAAAAAAGTGCATAATTTCTAGACGCCATTGTATAATCTACATTATACAATAGTATTTTGAAAGTGACTCGAGAACTTATACATCCATAAAACCATCATCTCTTCTCGTGCAATAACTGGGTTAGTGCATAGTCTAGTGGACAGGGCGTTAGGTGAATCAGGTCGGGTTAGACAGGTTTCCAGGTTCGATACCCGGCAGCGCTGGCGCTGGAAACATGGTTCGTTTTAATTTGCATTTTTGTTTAGCGTATTTCCGAACTCCAAAACAACGTGATTTTATAAATACGATATTGCGGTTCTAGGTAAGCGAATAGACCTAAAACACGCGTAAATAAAATTAGAACAAAAACACAACACCACAATATTAGATTTTATAATAAAACAATATAATATAGTATACGGGCGTCCGGAAATTGGGCCACAATGAATCTTTTTTCAAAAGGTATACGGTAATGGGGCCACTATATTTTAATACATTTTAGATTTGACAAAAGATAAACTTCTGTTTAACATTACTGTTTTAAACTATATTGTTATTTTATCCGCTATTACAAATTTAAATTTCTTATGTTCGTTATAATCGATTTAAATTGACGGCACTTTTGAATACTGTACAAAGCAATATCTGGATCACATTATTTAAAAAATTTAAAATTAACAATTATTTGACTTATTTTATATTATGAATTTAATATATTTAAAATCATATATTTTTATGTTATACTCATACATTTATGGTCCAATATCCGGGTTATAAAATTTACAGAAAAATTGTTTTTGAGCAAGTAGATAAAATGTGGCCAGATTCCCGGCCGCCCTAGTATACACATCGGGTGATCCGATTACGGGTAAATACAATTTCAATAAGAACCGTCACAATATTAGATATTAAAATGAAACAATATTATGTTGTACGTACCGAGTGATCCATTTAAGCGGGTATACTCTTCATTTCGAGAAGTAACGGAAACCTCGTCTTGTTACCACACGATTGTCACACATCAATGCGAATGTGTGTTGTTAGTTGATGGAAACAATTGCTAAGGTTCGTTACGGCCACTAAGTGATAACAACGCCTGTGGAATGAACTTTCCGACAATCAATCCGTATGACAACCAGCCCGTTTCTCCCATATTAATTTTGTTAAACATTTTTATTTGACAATTGAAGAAACGAGCAGTTCTAAATTGTTACATTACCGTTATTTTTTGTCACCTTTATTTTTTTGCGTGAAACGACTGCCTTACTATTGATTTTCGAATGGCAACCTGTGTTAAAAATTCCACAAACAGGTGGAGTAGTGAAAAATAGTTACATCCCTGTTAATCGAATGCACAATGAAGTAAACAATACAATCATTAATAATATATATATTTGAAATATCTAGTGAATTCAATAATTAGTTCAATACGGTTGGCATAAATATAGTTAACGGATATATTAAATTAAATCATACTGATCTACAGGTCGGCGGCTTTATTAATAATTCTATGTTTTTTTCTCCGTGTAACGTGAAAGATATACTAAAGTTTATCTCAGAGATAAAGTTGTCAACAACTTTTTATGAACACGAACTTTCCAACAAAATATTGAAAAAAACCGCTAAATATATTTCAATTCCGTTATCCATTATTTTCAATCCATCAATTAGTAACGGCGTTTTCCCTCAATGTTTAAAAAAAATTTTATTATGCTCTTACGATAAAATTCTTGGAATTTTTTTTAGAATTGAAGAAGCATTTGATCCAGTTGATCATCAAGTTTTGATTGATAAATTAGAATGTTGTGGCATTATTTAACTCTTATATAACAAACAGATCTCAAGTAGTAAAAATCAACAATGCACGTAGTAATTCTTTAGTAACAAAAACATGTTGTTCCTCAAAGTACAGCCCTTGGCTCAATTCTATTTATTTATTTATTATAAATACACGGGACAAAACTCCATTTAAATTATGTGAACCAATATGACAATCATATAAAGCATTTTGATAAATTTAAATACGAGTACAAATGTATGTGCAATATAATTATTAAATATGTATAACTTATGTATTAGTAAAAATAGTGTTTCAAAATGAATAAGTAATTTATGTATAAAATAAAACAAGACAAAACAAATTGCAATAAAATTACAATAAGTTTATAATACATGCAATCGGTAATATATAACACGATTAAACTAATTTATACATATTTTTAATATCATTTATGATACAAGAAAATTTAGCTTAATGCGTGGAATTACCAATTGACGTGAGTATGTTTGTAGGTGAATTTAATAAATAATTGGTTTTTATAATTTTTTTTGATTGTTTCTAGTTTTAGCAATATTCATTGTTAAATTTAGGTTTTTTAGTAAAGGGCCACATTATTATTATTATTTACGTCAATGGACAATTAAATCATAAAATAAATGGATATATTATTTCATGCGCAGATGATATTGTAATTTTGGTTCAATCAAAAAGTGAAAATGAATTATATAAATTGTCTACTTCGTGCCTAAAAATAGTCGAAACTCGGCTGAAACAATAATATGTTGCAGATTGACTTGAATAAATCTAGGTACATGTATTTTCGTTTGTCAAACGCAACACTTAATTTTACAAAACCATTAATTATACATAGATTTTACTGTTTAAAACTAGACGATAACTGTCCATGCATAGGCATTCAAAATGTAAGCTCAATTAAGTATCTTGGAGTAACAGCCGACAAATAAATTTAAATGATCCATACAGTATATTTCTGTAATAATGAGAAAATTTCTCTTTTGTTTTTCAAAATCTAAGACAAATCCTGAGTCCTTTGTTACTAAGAACAGTATATTTTTGCCTAGCACAATCGATATTTAAAGATATGGTCTAGAGGTTTAGGACGGAACATACAATATTCATCTCGTAAATCTACAGATTACGGTGCATGAATTAATAAAGATAATTTTACGTTAGTTAAGGTTTTATCCTACAGTAAACTTGTTCAATAAGTTTAGAGTGTTGAATTTAATAGCAGCTTACAATAAGAATTTATTAATGTACACTTGTTTAAACTGCGTAGCAATGTTTTTGTCGCACCATTCTTATGGTACAAGATTAAAAACATTAAGTAACACAAATCGTATAAAAGGAAACAGACATTTTGTAAAATTTAGTGTTGTTGATTTACGTTAACGACGAAGACGAGGTCGTGGAGAATAATAACAGACACGAGATGGATTGACGAGAAAAATAACTGCAAGAGACAACGAAGTTAAAAGAAGTACGAGAGCAAAGACAACGACCGAGATGATTGATGACGAACGAAGACAACGGCGGCCAAAAAGAGCGGGTCAAAGAGTGGAGGAGTAGGTCGGAACAAGAACTAGGGAAATACAATCGAATCTCGATAGTTGATGAGAAGTCGCGTTGAGATACCGTCGGGACAATTTGAAAAGTTATTACCGAAGAACCGGAGGGCCGTTTGAACATATAAACACGTAACGCGCATAACGCGTAAAACCAGATTCGAACAACACAGTGTCAATTCATGTTTGCCAATAATAATTATAACAAGAGCTTTTGGAGAACGGATTGCAAGTGATAGGTACGTATAGGATACGCTTATCGTTAAGCGTGTTTACATTAATTATTTAAGAAGCATAGTCGACGGTCGGAGGAATTAACGCGCACTGAACACCGCAGTGCGATTAAACTCCGGTCGAAGTTTACCATTTTAATCGATACGGTTAGCCGCCGCGGATACCGTCTCCCGATAATACGGACGTTACGATATTGATTTTTACCCACGGGCGACTAACGCCGTATCGTAAATACTTAACCCTAACGAATGCGAGAACTGCTCCCCCGGCACGTCGAGTTTCGCCTACCGGGGTCGCCGAGCGACAACGTCGCGTGCGCGCAGCACTGACGTTCGTCCAGATCCTGCGGCAAAGCCGTAGGAAATGGAACCGTATCCTATATGTGTACATTTACGTATCTTCGATACGGGTCGTCCGGTCGCCGGAGTCGCGCGTCGAACGGGCCCGAGTGCCCGCGCCGCGGCGCTACGGCCCGCGGACAACCGTTTAGCGCGGTACGCCGGCCGCGTCGTTCGGCTCTGCGGCTCCTCTCCCGGGGATGTTCAAGTAAACGATACCGGGGTCACCGGCGGCTGGCCCGTAATCGCGGTCGTGCGCCATGATCCACAGCCGCAAGACGTTATCGGCGCTCGGAGTCGCCGGCCCGTCGCCGGCCGCTTCCCATTCATATTCCGGCAGATCGTTTTGGCGGGCGTCCATCGCACGAGAGTCCGGCCGCAGTGTTTCACGTCGCTAAACTATATCGAGTAGAAATAATGTCTTGTTACGGCGGGCATCCGCTGAATAAAAATTTTAGATTACTGTTTTTGGTTTTTTTTATCCGCGTCGCTATATTACCGTATACCCGTGTTTTTCGATCGGCACCGTTACTACGGTTATTTTATACGCGGCCGTGCATATAAATAATACGCGATTCGCAGTTATTCGATAAAATGACGCGCGTAATATTCGCGCGGACGAAACCCGTAAACGACGCGTCCTAGGATAACGGGGACGGGCGCGCGCAGCCACCGTTGAATAGGTGAGAAGTCGGGACGGCTGTTGGCCTGTAGGATACGGAAGGGAATTCAATGCACGTCTGTAAGCAACGACAAAAACCATTGCTGACGAAACAACGATTCTGGGCGGAGTTCAGTGGATGGCGATGCTTTGTCAACAATGTATTATGTGCCATATTGTAGTAAAATATAATTAAACAGGCGTTACATATTTTCTTTAATGATATTTGTTTAATACTGTACCGATTTTCCTGGTTTTCCCATGTTTTTCCCGGTTTTTTACGTTTGCTGGGAAAACTCTCGGGGAAATCGAAAAACGACCTCCCTAAAGTAGGTACTTTACCAGTAAGATTTCCTTTCGGAAAAAGTGCTATCATTGTAAATTGGAGCGAAATTGCTAGTAGAAAAGCAGTTCATAGGAAAAAAAAAAGGCCGTAATATAATACCTACATTTTCGTACATTTTCCCGTTTGTCCTCCGTTTTCTTTTCGGTTTTTAAATTTATTGAGAAAATCTCCTGGGAATGTCGGAGCATGACGGATTGACGCAAATCAAAAACATCTTGGGGGGGAGGAGGGGCTACAACAATCAATCGATAGAAATATTATAAGAATATTATTTTGAAACAATATGAGGGGGTAAGTCATCATCTACAAAGGATGTAAGTTGAATAGATATTTTCACCGATTACTGTGGATTGTAGCCGTACAAAAATGGTTTACTATCAATTCGTGACTGGTGACTCTCAACGAATTTGTGGTTGGTATCAAAAAAATGTGTGTATTTAGACGAGCAACGAGGAAAAGCTTGATGTTTAACAACTACTCATAAAACAGAATATTAATAATTATAATAAATAATATTATAATCAAGTATTTCACATTATTATATTCTTCTTCTACTCCTTCGATTTCATCCCAACTACTTGAGATCGGTCATCCTCGTTCTAGACATCCATTAGCTCCGAACTCCCACCTCGCATAAACCGATTGACCTCATATCGTTTTAAATAGTTTCTAACCACTCTTATGTACTCCATATCCTATCTTTTCCCGTCACTCCACTCTGTTACCTTAGTGTATTCAATTTTGTTACTATCTTTTTTTTCCGTCTACTGTTCATCACTCCGAACCATACGAGATGGTCAATCTCACCACCCTTTTGTGGAACTTTATTTTAATTCGTATTAATAATCGCTTATGACATAAAACATCTGATACTTCTCTCAACTTTGTTACACCGAATTCAATTATTTTTAAATTACCAACTAAAGCCAAAATGTAACAAAAAAAAGGACACCTCTCTTGTCATGTTTTGATTGGAGAAACATTTCTAGAAGGAAAGTTGTTTACAGAGAAAACAAAATACACATAGTGAAACCAATGGATCCTTCGCTTCACTCAGAATCTAAAATATTTAATATCTGATAAGAATGTGTTTAGTTGTAACCTATAAATGATAGATTCTACCGAAATTGATGCATACCTAATAATATAATATGCAGGTTAAAGTTTACCCGTTTGTACGTTTTGTACGCACAATTAATTTACAGTTGACGACACGAGTATAATATATTAGCATTACTTCAGCTATCCCTATAATGGCCGTCCTGCCTACCGTTGCCGCGCCAAAAAAAAAAAAATAATAAAAAATACAGTATACTAAGAAACCAGTTTCTATAATAACTACGCTATCCGTTGTGCATATCCTCGTGAAAACTGTTACAGCTCTTACATTTAATTTAATTTTTTGTTTTTAAATATTTTTATTTCATCCGTATCATAAATAGCGGCGTATCAGAACTGGTTTCGAAACGTTCGAATTACTTTCCGAGTTGTTACAAAGGATATATATCCAAATAGGCTACCGGATTGTATTTAAAAAGCAATTTCAATTTTCCTTCTCGTCTTTTAAGTACAGACGTACAACTGTCTACATATTACCATTGGTTATACGTATTTTTTTATTTTTTTTTTTTTTTCGTTAAAATTATTTAAATATTAAGAAGAGAATAAACATTTTACAACAAATTTTGACTGAATCCATTTTTGTACGCGGTGAATCGGATAAAACTCGCGAATGCGTCAAGTACAAAAGTCCGATCATAACCTCGCAAACATTTCCGACCGACATCAGTCGGTTACTCACGGCACGAAGTATGTATTTATGTATTCGCAATGTACGCATTAATTGTGTTCATTTGTACGACGCAGAAGAAAAACACTATATATATTATATGTTTATGGTACCGAAGAACGGCTAATCAAATTAAATATCGTACTTTTACGGGTCGGGCGACTATAATATTAATAGGTCTTGGTCTTTTATACGTGTATATTCACCAGAACGATTCGTCACGAAAAAAAAGAAAAAAAAAAACAGTCACGCTTTTCTTCCGAAAAAAAAAAACTTGTGCGCTTCGGCCGCGAGATAATGCCACGATGACCAATCGTAGACAATCGTCACAAGTGAAATCTCCGTAGAGCGCATACACAACAAACAATAATAATAATGTTGCCTGTTATTGAGAAAACGTGAGCGAAAACGCGTACACGTTAAACTACCCGTTTTACATTTTAAAAAAATGTAAAACACCAGTAACTATAACGCGAATCGATTATCGTTTTCGGAATTTCGGATGATTTTAGTACCCTGTCGGAAATCGGCCGTTCAGAACTTTTCGAGAATACATATCGATATGGTGTTTTGTTAAAAAGAGCGTATATCACCTAAAATCGAACACTACGTTTTCGGTATCGAAAATATCAGAAAACTCAGGAGCATAAACTGGTAAAAGGGCGTGTTTAAATACAGAAAATTAAGTTGGCAATGTCGACTAAAAGATATCCAGACGCCATTTTAAAATATAATTACATCAACACTGATCCGTTTATAAGGACGTATATCGCATTCAATGCATGTATACTTTATGTAGGTACAAGGTATTATGTGTACGAGTAATTTTATTGCTTTGCATGATAAACATCAATTAAAACTGTTTTGCTATTTCTTTGTAAAATAATTTTTTTTCGATTATTGAAAAAATATATTTTAGCGGTATACGTTCTTTTAACAAAACACCTTTAATATATACAATATACGTTTATGCATGCATGTTATACAAGTGCGTCGTGTGAGTTTTCCAATAGGGACGCAAGCGTTTGAATCGGGCCAAATTTTCTGAAAATATTCCGTCGCTTCCCTCGTTTATTATGTTCGTATTCCCACTTTACATTGTAATATTAAAATATTAAACTTTTCGATATTACAGTAACATTACTATTACGCGATTATCGGTGCGCATTGTTTACCTCGCTGACATGCCTGTTTATTTAGCCACGATAACGATTAACAGTAGAAAATATTTTTAACCGCGGTAAAAAATCCCATTCTCACATCGTAGACAGTCGGACTCCGGTGATGGCTGCACCAAAAAAACATTCGAAAAACTGTCCTATGTGATAATGGGGACGGGTGCAGTTAATGTTATAGGTGAGAAGTTGGGAAGACAGTAGAGGAGAGATGTAATTTATACATATCTGTAAGCAACAATTAACCATTGCTAACGAAAAAACGATTCCGAGCGGAGTTCGGTGGTAGTGTATTGCTTTTTCAACAATATACTCGTATAGATATGTCATATTATATGGTAAAATAATTATATATGCATTATATATAATGTTTTTTTAATAATATTTGTTTAATGTTGTACCGACGATATTCTTACGTTATTTTTCCCGGTTTTTCGCATTTTTCGGGAAAACTCCTGGGAAAATCAAAATAAATGACCTCCATAAAGTACCGCTCCAATCCGATTTCATTTCGGAAAAAAAGGGCTACCATTGTAAATCGGAGCTGAACGGCCGGTGGAAAAGTCGCCGGCAGAATGAAATAAGAATACAAACATCGTTGTAAGACCGATACATTGGTCGTTACGCTCGGAGTCTGAAATAGGGCCGCCGGAGCACTGGTACAGCCCGAGTCCCTCGAATGACGCCCCCCGATATCGTATACCGGGCCGTCGCGGACCGTATATTATTACGGCGTTACGTGGATAATACACGTAATATTATTGCGCACGAGATGTACAGAGACGGGCCGATATACAGTCAAATTCACGTATAACGATGCCGTATATAACGATATTCCGGGTANTTAGTCGTTTAGTTGCCGTTTTGACAAAAATATGTTTGATAAATCAATTTTTCAAAAAAATCATGTTACTTTTTATGATCCGGATATAACGAAGTTCGGTTATAACGATCAGATTCCCTAGGTCCCTAGAAGATCGTTATAAGCGAATTTGACTGTACTATAGTATAATGTTATACGATCGCGCGCGTCGTCCGTAAGAAAAAAAAAAAAAAAGGAGAAAAAAAAAACACACGCTTCATCGAATTAACCGCCTCCGCGTGTGCGCACAGAGGCCGAGTGTATTACCCGTATTATACCCGTGCGTAAGTACACACGGTCACATGACGTACCGAAAATTTATAAATACGATATTATTATATAATAATACAATGCGCGCGCGCGCGCGGAAAACTACACGCGTTAACGGCGCGCGCGGACGCGAGTGGCCCGTCGACGGTTTTTCACTCGTATAATTACGTTATAATTTTCGTTATTATTATTACGACCTGTACAGTACGATCATCATTAGGACGGTTTCAAAATCAATCCGGTGGTATAGAATTTTTT